TCTAAACATGGTATTTTTAATAAATCATTTCTAATAACTGATTTAACTTTACCATGATGACAGTACATAATATTTGACTAGATATTTTTAAAGATGCTAGTATTCAGCTTAAAGTGACATTTAAAGGCTTAATCAAGTTAGGGAAATTAGGCAAGAGATTGTATTACAGTGGTTGGTTCTGTAGACAAAATACAGAATATATATATATAAATAAATAAATAAATAAATAAATAAATATATATATATATATATATATATATATATATATATATATATATATATATATATTGCTTAAGGGGGCTAATAATATGAACTGCTTTCATTCTAGCCGAAATAAAACAAATAAGACTTTCTCCAGAAGAAAAAATATTATCAGACATACTGGGAAAATTTCCTTGCTCTGTTAAAAATATAATTTGGGAAATGTTGAAAAAGCTATTAATTCTGACTTCAACTGTATACAATATATTTCAAATAAATATGGATCTTGGTATATAGATCAATAAACCAATGCTGATGATACATGTGGAAACTTTTTTAAGTAATGCTGCAAGACAGTATTTCATAGTGATTTTGCTTCGGCTACTTTCCTATTAAGAATGGGCAACACAACTGTATCTGGATCCACACTAAGAAATCCTGGTTGCCTTAATAAAATTAACCCACTGAACTAATATTTTGTTAAACTGGCATAAAACAGCTTGCGTAACTCATAAGATTAAGTTAGAACATGATTTAATTAGTTTAATAAATTATAATGACCTAAAAAGAAAAGCTGTCAGGACTAATTGATAATATCATTTTTTACAGTGCAGTGTCCCTGTCTTACTTTAGGTTAAGTGTCTTTAACTACTATGTACTTATATCCAAATATAAAAACAATATACTTACTGTGTTCATAATGTATTTAAGATTATTTCAAGTGCTCTTGAGGTGGGATACAGGTAGAGTTATGAATAGGGTTTGGTGGTGTGGGTAGGTTTAAGGGTTGGTTAAGGTGTAAGGAAAGGTCAACAGTGCAATTAAAGATGTAATTAACAGACGTAATTACATTCAGGTATTAAATCAAGCATAAGCACAATGTAAAACATGTATTTGCACCATAAGTACATTGCAACAAATGATTAATTTCAGTGTATGTACATATTAGTTGAGGCCACTTAATATAAAATGGGACCAATTGCCCAAATTAGTTGACCTGTGTCTCATGTGGTTGCCCATTAATGGCTTAACTTCCCAAAGTTGTCTGACACCCTTGCTCTAAATGTTTCCTAGTGTATCATCAGCATGACAATGTCACGACTGTTGGTGGAGGCTGTGGATTAACGGTAATACCGTTGTATGTATATGACATTCACTTTCATGCACAGACTGTTTCACTTCATAAGATCTCAGTGTATCATTAGGATCATAATTATGAATTTTCTTTTGTCTGTATATGATTTTTAAATAAACTGTCAAAGTGCTGGTAGCTGCTGACTTGATTTTTATGAACCACCAAGAACAAGGGTTAAACTAAAGTCCTCTGAAATATTGTACTGGAGAAAAATCTTTAATTTTTAAACTTTAAAAAAGTTTAGGGAATGAAGAGAGACTTGTCAATTTGGTCGAACCCTTTTATTAATGCATTAATTAGAATTGTATATAATGCTTTCATCCATTCGGAATACACAGGTTTAAGAAATTCATAAACATAAGTGAATGCATATTTGTCAGTCACACATAAATGTCATTGCATTTGAGTAATCGCTTTCAAAATGAATTCTTTCAACTTGCTTTGAATCACTATAAATGTGTTCACAGTTAAAAACAATTGAATGCATTTCATTAAAATGTGTGGAATGTTAGATGTATGGTTGGCTCTGGAATATTCAACATTTACTTAATATATATGAGATTTAAACAATCTGGATTCATTATTTTCCTTCAGCTTAGCCCCTTATTTATCAGGGGTCGCCACAGCGGAATGAACCGACAACTATTCTGGCATATGTTTTAGGCAGCGGATGCTTTTCCAGTCGCAACCCAGTAGACTACTGGGAGACATGCATACATTTTCACATTTACACACTACAGCCTATTTGGTTTACCAAATTCAATTGTAGAGTATGTCTTTGGACTGTTGGGGAAACTGGAGCACCCAGAGGAAACCCATACAAACCCAGGGAGATCATGCAAACTCCACACAGAAATGCCAACTGACTCAGCCGGAAGACAAACCAGCGACCTTCTTGCTGTGAGGCTACAGTGCTAACCACTGATACTGAACTGGATTTATTCGTGTTAAATATATAAAACTGCTAACAGTGTATTCACATTCCATTTATCAGTACGATTACAGTAATCTACTTGTTTCGTTTACACTACATATAACTGACAAACCTCCATCTCAATAAGTTTATCGTTCAACTGTGTAGAGCAAATGCATGGAAATTTAAATGCAAATCTTAACATGTTGCATCTAAAATTAGTTGAATTTAACTTGCTTATAATCACCATAAATGTGTTCACTGTTAAAACAATTGAATTTACATTTAATTAAAAGCTTTGAGCATGTTAGAAGTGTGGTTGGCTGTGGAATATACAATATTCAGTTAAAATATTTGAGATTTAAACCAACAGGATTCATTCATGTTAAAAATATAATACTGCTCATAGAGTATTTACATTTTATTAGTACCATTACAGTAATCTTACACTACAGTTTCTTATTCTTTTGTCACTAGTTTTGACAATGTATGACTGATAGTGGTGTATCAGATCACAAATCTCACAGTTCGGGTCACATTATGTTTTTTTTTGGATCGGACCATTTTTCAGGGCAGCAAAAAAAGGGGAGGAGAAAAATGTCATTTGCTTTCCATTTATTACAGAAACAGTACTGCAAACACTTTTGGTTTTAAAAAACAGAACGTAGAACCTGTAATTTTATTAAAAATAGAATGAAGAAATAATCAGCTGAATAAAAATTAATTGTGAAATACTCAGTACTAAAAAATTCACTACTGTTAACGCTAAATGTAGAAATATATTATTATAATTTGTACAACCCATATTTATTTTACTCTCATTTTCAACAAATGATTCAGTAATTCACTCATAAAACTTCGTTTCATTGCTAGAGGGATCATTTTTGAAGAATTATTCAGTGGCATATTTTTGATTGCTGGTTGTCGCCACTTATTGGTTAAATAATGTAACTGCTGCCTACAACTTTCATTTTGAAGCGTCAAGTTAAACGTATATGATGGTGATTTAAATCTTTACCATAAACAACAGTAGTTTTATCTAAACTATAAACTGTTATCCCAGTACTTATGTGTTATTTCACTGTTTGCATCTTCATGACTAACTCAAAAGACTAAAGACTAAATCTCTTTCTAGATTTTTGCGGTTTTCAAACACAGATTTGAATGCAGCGATTTGAAGGATTAATAAACATATGCAAATCACCATCATTTATAATTTATGTTGCGTGGGTGTTAATCGTGCAGCTTACAGTGAATGCATTAATGCAGGCTAAACAAGTAGTGACAGAAAACCAACCCAGACTCATTCTAGAAACGTAGCCCCGCGGACATTTCTGGAGGCCGCGAAATACGTCCCGGGAGATACGTATTTGTGCAGTTTTTGTTTTCACTAATCCACGAGAGGGCGATGTGTGAGTTTTTTCACGTCTCAAACGCCTATCGGGAGCGCGCCATTCGCACCCACGCTGTTCTCGCATAAAAAGCCGTCGGAGGCCACTGTCGAGAGACCGTCTGTCCAACTGACTGACTGACCGAATGGCTGAACAATTTACTGGGCGGCCGGCCAATCGGCCGAACCAGCCACCTTCCTCCTCCTCCTTCTTCCCTTTACCCCAGCGACGATTTACAAAGCCATCCAGAAAAAGAAAAGCCCTCATCCGATTTTGACCGCGTTTTCAAACCTGGTCGTCGCCGCAGCCGGCTCCACCTCCTCCGGGCCTCCGCTCCACCAACGTAAAACGACAAATTAACCGGACAAACTGGTTGTGGCGGGAAAGCCCTCCACACAGAGGTGAGCCGCCCCGTATCGTTCGTTTGAAAAAACGAAATGCGGCCATACGTACCTGGGCCTCCAGAAACGTCCGCGGGGCTACGTTTTCAAAATGAGCTTGGGTTGCAGAAAACATATTTAATAATCTTAGAAGCCCGCCACATCTCGAATAACTTACCACAACTGCTTCTGTGATCATTATATTTTACCAGAAAGACTAAATGCTTTTATACATGTGATTTAAATGCATTTAGAGGCAATCATACGAAATTTAGGATTATACTACAGGTAAAAAAATGTATTATTCTGCTGGTCACGTATATTCCAAACCATGGGTTGTGATCTGTTACACCCCTAATGACTGACAAATATCTATTTATCCAAGTTTATCTTACAAAGCGAATTGATGTCAATATTACACACAAATCTTAAAATATAGCCCTAAATATATTTATATTTAATTCAAGTGTGCACATATCACTTCAAATCAAGACCCACCAAAAACTCAGCCAAGTGAAAACTAAATTAGAAATGTCACTTCTCTCCAAACCTGTCTCTCTGTTCCCTAAATGCCTCGTTCATCTTCATGCCGCAGCTGTCAGCTTTAAGAACAACAGATATCCAACATCCCCAGACACGCGCCATTAACCTGAAACTTGTTGAAAGGCAAGCTCTTTGGAGACACACCAAACTCAAAAAACTCACACGCGGGTGACTCAGTGAAGCTGCTAATGTCATAAAGCGATTTGTAAAAAAAATATCAATACAGCGCAAGTCTGTGGCGTGAATACACTAGTGTCAAGTTCACTCAAGAAGCTAACATGACTATCACTGCTCTGGGAAACGCTTGTGGTTCAAACTGACACTCCCAAGAAACAGTTTCAGGTATGATGAGGAGGAGGTGGAAGAGGACAGCCCAGTGCATCACTATGAGGATTTTCTTTGGTGTGTTTGGCATGTGTGATGGGTGAGTGTTGTACCTGCCAGTGCCGAGTTCACACTACTGGATCCGTTCATGTGGAGAGGGATGGTGGGGATGCTGCGGAGACAGAAACATACACACTTTAATGCGTACAAGACTAAACCTTTTCTCACATTACAACAGGTGTGTCCTGTTCTTGGTTGAGACTGTTGCCCATGACCTAGTAAAGACAAAATGAAAGCAAGATAGTTAACAAGGAAATTCCCAAGCTCTCTCAAGGTGTGGTGTAATTCATACCATGTCATCTGATGTCTTATATAAACAGCTCAGTTTCTAAGGTTTAAAAAGGTTTAGATTTTGAAGAAATTGATACTTTAATTCAGCAACGATGAATCAAGTGACAATGGAAAAGAATATTGTTGCAGGATTACTTCTTCAACTAAAGGACGTTCTTTCAAACTTTATATCTGAAGAATTCTAAAGAATATATATGAGTTTTTTCAGGACATTATAAGGCAGCTTGATTACTTTGACTAGAACAACATGCTAGAATCATTTCTTAAGGATCATGCGACAAAACTGGAGCAATGACGCTAAAACTCAGCAATAAATTACAATAAATTACATTTGAAATAAATAAACAAAACTCTTTTTAATGGTGTAATAGAATGCATTGCAATGCTGCGATCACATCAGATGTGGATAAAGTGTCAAGCGTGAGTGATTTACATTTTAAGTCAATGCAAAGATGTAAATAGGCATCCTGCAATTGAGGCGGCTCGTATGACCAGTTTTGGACGAATAAAGCGGTGCAAGTTGAGCATTTTGTGAATAACACAAATTGCTCAAGTTGGAAAATCTAAATTCAGCCCTACTTTTGCTTAAACACTGGGATTTCATGACACACACAAAAAAAACACACAATTTTTAAAATGAAAATTGAAGATTCCATGACAATCCCACGGGTCAAGAAATAGGCAGAATTTCTAATATTTTTCCTCAACCTCTACTGAAAAATACTTACTTTGGCACTTAAAGTCTGACATTAAGACATTTTCCAAGCTGACAAAACACAGGTTAGGCAAGATGTTCAAATGCTGGACAAAAATGGGCTAGTTTTACAAATATTAAGAGTTTGTAACTCAACAAATAAAGTACTTAAAGTTACTCGTAAGTGTTAGTTAAAGTTAGTACTTTGTTAAACTATCAATTTGATGCTAAAGTGCTTTGTTTTTAATTGAAAGTACTAAAAGAACATCATCAGTAATGTGGTTATTAGCATGAAATGAATGAATGAAAATAAAAAAGTAAATCCCTCTTTCGAGCTAATTTAACACTAGCATCTAATCTTCACTTAAAGGGATAGTTCACCCAAAAATGAAAATTACCTCCTTATTTATTCTCCATCCTATGGTATTAAACATTTTTAGTTTGTTTCTTCTGTTCAACAAAAAAGGAGCTATCTTGAAGAAACCCATTGACATTGAGTAGGAAAAACTACTATGGAAGTCAATGGGTCCCAAAAACCAGCATTTTCCAAAATATCTTATATTGTGTTCAACAGAAGAAAGAAAGTCAAATAAATTTTGAACAAGTGAAAGGTGATTAAATGATGACAGGATTTTCATTTTTGGATGGACTGTCCTTTTAAGAACATTTAAGATAAGATAAAAACTATATTTACAGCTTTATCTCAGAAGTGAAGCTCTGATCTGAAGCAATTATAGGCTGCAGGACATTCCCACAGTGATCTGAGAATCTCATGACATTACTGGGTGTGATGAGGCTCAATGCCAGAATATTTTCAGCATACCACATTGTGTGAAACTAGCCAGTGCAAAGTGTGTGGGATGAATTTCACAGCCAAATTTAAACTCAAGTTTAAGAGTTCAATTCAAATCCCTTACTCTGAGTTCTCATCATTTTCTCACCATCAACTAAAGTGGTTCTTTCTTCTCTTGATCATAAAAAAAAGATATCTAGAAAAATTATTTTAACCAGTAGCATTTGGCTTTCATGGTAGGAAAAAATATTATAGAAAAATATATTTTTTGTGTGTTTAACATAAAAAAACAAAGAAAAAAAACAACAATTTAAACGACTTTTGAACTAGATTCGAACCTAAAGTTACTGAGACTTTTATTTTAGTATGTTGATTTACTTCCAACTGAAATTGAATATAGAATAGGGGGCGGGGCTTTCTTTCTGCACATCATTCATTCATAGCAAACTAACGGTAAGAGGTGCGTGGTTAAATGTATTGTGGATGAGGCAGTCAAACTGTAATTAACAATGAAAGAAGGCTACTTTGCAAATGTTAGGCTTTGAAAAAATTAGTTTTCCAGCTGATTAACTTGCACATTAATTGTTCACCTGGGTAGAGTTGCACCAGTTGTTCATAAGTTTTCGCTTAAATTGAAACATAAAGTTTACACTAGAGGCTTAGTAACTAGTTAGTTTGTAACTAAATTCGTTTCTTCTTCGGTTGCACCACATGTTCTTAAAGCAAAATGTAGTTAGTAAGTTGTAAGCTCTTCGTAAAGTAATAAGTATTCACATTGAACGGCGTATATCTAATAAAAAGTCTGTAAATTGATAATAGGATATATAATATACAGGGCTCGAAATTGCGACCATTTTGGTCGCATATCCTCCCGAAATTTTATCTATGCGACCTCAAAATATATTTGGGAGCATTTTTGCGAGTGTATAAAATTGTTGTGTGCGACCAGTTTTTACTGCAAAATGTTTACCACATGCGCGGATTCGGTACACATTCACGCAGAATGCATCTCTAAGCTCTTTGTCTGCACTTGAAACACGAAACGCAGCGCTCAGGAATGGTTTAAAACAGTTGTCATGTCAACTTCCTACAGTAAACAAAGCCAAGTCCGTAATGCTTGCCCCGCCTTTGCGCTCTCGTTATTGGCCCACCACTGCTCTAGCACTGAACGCGAATGATTGGTTAATATCAGCTGTCAATCACTCAGTCAGTGCCTTCTTGTTTGGAATGACAGAGAAAGCTACTACTAAGATGTGTTTGATATGGGTAGCAACTAAAATCTGCAGGAAGGTGGTCTCCAGGAACAGGGTTGTCCACCCTTGTCATAGTGTATAGTGTGCCATTTGGGATGCAGCTTAAATTTTGTGGTGCAACACAAAAATATTTAGTAGTGTGTATGTTGTAACTTAGTGATCCTTTACCTCACAACAAGGCTACATTTTAACTTATACGCTGCTGGTGTAACTGACCCCTACAGAATAACAAATGTGCTAGCAAAAAAACAACAACTTTTAAGCTCCCTCCAAGTGTTGATCTTTGAACTTGGTTCCTTTTTCAGCAGTAGATTTTAATTTCGGTTTTGATTTTAGCAAAGACTGAGTTCACTTGAGAGCAATCATGAAAAGATAGTAACCCCAGAAGGTGTACTCTGCGCACATGATAATCATACTGAGAATCTAAGAGACGGATGCAAGTGTAAGCTGACTGAGACAGGTCTAAAAATAGTCATTTCCTGGTTCCCCTTTCAACCCAGTTTACTAGAAAAGAACAATAACTTAAATCTGGGTCTTCCCCTTTCAGACAGCAGAGTAAGGGAGATCTGCACTCCTCCACGTGTCCTAAAGCAGACCTCTACTCCCGCTGATCCACATGGGGTGGAGGATATGACATCATTACACAGAGGAACAGCCAATTATAGAATCAGGACAAAAGGAGGGGATGATCTTTTTCTGCTCTTAAAATTACGATCAGACCAGACTACAAGTATGAATAAGACTATGAATATATCAAGACTGTGAATTAAAATGTGAAGCTTATATTTTTTGTGAATGCACAATTATAGTTACATTAATTTTATCAACGCACAAAATAATTACATTATGAAATACCAAGTAGTTTTACAAATGGTACCATGATAGCTTTGTGGAACTTTCTATATCAAAGATTTGTAAAATCAAGTGCTAACATGATGCATGCTGCAAATGTGGTTCACAAGGGCTAAATACTAGTGTGGCCTATGACTACAAAAAGATAAGACACAATGACAGGAAGGAGAAGAGCACAGAAGCTGACGTAATAAAAACTTTTGACCTTTGGTGTCATCTGAAACTCAGCAGGTCAAACGTCTTGCTTCCTAATTAAAGCCAAAAGCTGGTTGAGTATTTTTAAACTCGTCTCTGGAGTTTGACTTCCATTCAGGATTGTGCAAAGTCCTTGGAAAATGTGATTAAAGTAAGTCTCTGCTTTAGAAAAAAAACAATTGGTGGTATATTTCCACCAGCAAAGTGTTTCAGGTGTGAATTTCTGGCTGATGTTCATTTTTACTGTAGAAAATTGGTAAATCGGGCTATAAACACAATCAGGAAGTGGAGAAGTCCTGACAAAGTCAACAGCAATCCCACTGAGCGATGTAATTGATTTGTTTGTTTACAAATGTAAATCTGTATAAGAGAGTGACTCTTTGTATGAATTAGACACATGCCCATATTAAAAATTCTATATATCAGGAAATTAAAGATGCACAATATTAAGGGCCACTTAAAAAATGTTAATAAAAATGCATATAAAATTTTAGATGGTGTTTACAAATGTTTTTACAGCATACACAAATCTAATAGGCAACCTGGGCCACATTTCAGAAAGGTTAAGTGAAAACTCAGAGTATGTCAACCCTGGAATGAGAGAAACTCTGGATTTTCTGTTTAAAATCACAAGTTTGTCAAACTGGAGCAAGTAGGGTAAGCCTGTCTCTGAAAGAGAGGTAACTATTGCTCAGAGTCAGTTACAGTGGTAACTTACACTGTGAACCTAACCTGGTCAGAAGCAAGTTTTAATCTCTAAACTGAGTTTCTTTCGGCCTCCTACCCTTTTTTAAAGATGAATTGGTATTTCTCACCTTAGCCTGACATTTTCACCCACCTATTTTTAAGCACATTTTGGACATGCTCAAAAAAAAGTTGGTTGATGGAAACACCAAGATGCGCATAACTTTTGAAAATGCACATAAAAACCGCATGTGCATAACTGAGTAGGATAAACTTTTTATTTGATAAGAAAAGATGCGCATAAACTATGATAGAAACATTTTTACTGAAAAAATTCCAGTATGTGTATTAAAAAACATTATGTGATTTTGTTGTAGGAGATCATGTGATGATAAAAATGTGTGTGAATGGACAAACCAGCAGGCTGAGCACACTGTAAACATCTGTAATGTTGTTTTGGTCATTCTGAAATGCCTTAAACGTTTTAGTATTAGCGTTATTACATTATTAATTACCTCCAAAACTGTCAAGAGCATCTGTTCTCTGCGTCTTATGCCTTCATTGTGTGTTGGCATTGTCTTCTGAGGGGAAAGTCATTTATTAAATGAAGAAAAGATTGACGCAGCTTCTCCTACCGCAGCAAATTCAGTTTTTACTGTTGATATTTGGCGACAGTTAATCAGGAAGTTACAATTTTATTCTCTTTGACTCTTTGGATGGAAAGCTACTTTATTTGCATATCTTTTATGTGATATTACAGTTTTGCACATAAATTTAATTCGCATTTTTGGATGGAAACAAAGCTATTGCCTACATTTCAGTCACACAAAGAACAAAGTCAAGAGAATAGCTTATCCTTTTTAAAGATATAATTAGCCTAAATTCACTGACCTTCGACAGGGTCATGTTAGTCGTTCTAAAAACAATTTTTAGTACTGTTTACATTCTAAATGTAGGTATGTAGGTAGACACAAAAGTGCACTTTCACATCTACTAAGAACTCAATTTTAGACATTTTATCTTAAACTGGTTAACGTGTGTAAAAGTGGGACCCTTAAACTAAACATTTCCTCTAAACATTAAGTTAAGGTTATATGCATTCTTGTTTCATCAAATTTGCTGTAGAAAATATGCAGTAGCCTATTTAATTTAATTCAATGCAAGTACATCTGAAATAACTTCAAAAATACAGCCAATTCCCCACTTTTTCAAGTGAAAAGTCAATAACCGTTACACATTACATTGCTTATTTTTTATTATACTTAGATATTTAAATACTTTAAATATTTTAAATGTAAACTTAAGCATTAACTTGAGCAACTGCCAATGCAGTGGTGTTTATGCAGTGCATATTTGCTATAACTTTGAAGGAGCACATCAAGTTCATTCATTCATTCATTTTCTTTTCGGGCTTAGTCCCTTTATTAATCTGCGGTCGCCACAGCGGAATGAACAGCCAACTTATCCAGCATATGTTTTACACAGCGGATGCCCTTCCAGCTGCAACCAATCACTGGGAAACACCCATACACTCTCATTCACACACATACACTACGGACAATTTTAGCTCACCCAACTCACCTGTACCGCATGTCTTTCTACTTGTGGAGGAAAACCGGAGCACCTGGAGGAAACCCACGTGAACACAGGGAGAACATGCAAACTCCACACTGAAATGCCAACTGGCCCAGCGACCTTTTTGCTGTGAGGCTATTGTGCGACCCACCGCACCACTGTGCTGCCCCACATCAAGTTCAGAAGGAGAAAAAAATGCTGATCTCTTTTTTTTCCAGATGTTGTCATAGTGACTGGTAAGCGCTCCATTGAAAATGCCTTTTTATAGTAGCGGTGTTCACGCTTAACCCTGAATTAGTCAACTCAGACTTGATTAACCTAACTCAGATCAACTATTCTAAATCTGAAAACTTCCCAGAGTTTTTAATCTCTCTGTAAGTCAACTCAGAGTTCCAGTTTAAACTCCGAGTTAGCTGAACCTCCTAACTGAAACAGGCCCCTGCTATTTTTATATATCTCAAAAAGTTTAATGTTCACAAAAGGCTTGATCTCCAGAACACGACACATTCTTGTGGAAAATATTGATTGAGGTAACATTTGAACTAGGCCTAGTCTTACCTTAAGCCATTTGAATGATGACTAAAATTCTGTGGCGGTCCTGTAGGATGAGGCACTGAAGGTGGGGTGCTCCATGGGCCATTCCATAAGAGGCTTCCCATTGAGAGCGGTCTTCTGGGGTAGGGAGAGTAGGCTGATGATGAAGAGCTGGTTACAGGAAGTCTTCCATGCTGGGTCTGAAGACTAGGCCGAATGGCTTGTCCCGCAGAGAAGGAATGCCGTGACCGGCTCAACATGGGTCCAGCGGTACTGCTATTGGTCACGCATTGATGACAGGTACAAGCCGGGCCCGAATGAATAACCGACCCAGAGGCGAGGGGATAAGGTACATTGCCTTGCCGTCTGACACGTCTTCTATAGCTGGTGGCCTTGTTGACTTGTTCGAGAGCTCCGAGGTCCACAATGTAGTTGTAGCCATGTGGGCTCAAGTCAGCGGTGGCCTGTCCCGCCTGGTAACTGTGCTCCAGCAAGATGGAGGTTCGTATCTCATACGCCGTCCATCCGCCTTCATCATTAGACCACTCCCAAAGAACACCACTGCCCAGAGCAGAGGACTGTGGGAACAGGGATCTCCGCACAGCACGCATCTTTCCTACAGAGGGCACATCAAAACAAAATCACTGTAGTTAGACATAGGATTATATTCAAAATATCATGATGATGAACATGCACAATATTGATATCATGGGCACTTCAAAACAGTGAATAATGATTTATTATTGAAACTGTTGTGTGAAAGTATTTTCACACTGTTTCTTAACAGCACCAAATGTTTGGAGATTTAATTGGTTAGCTTCATATTTAAAACATGAACATTTTACATGTGAACCTAGCCTAGTAATTGCTGAAATATTAATTGAAAATTGTGGGACTGTTTATAGAGCTATTGTACCTTAACACGGTGTAATAAGGCTCCAATAGTTAATATTTGTTAAACTCAAGATGAAAACTACAAGCAAAGGTTTTTATTAGTGCTGGGCAAAGATAGTGCATCTAAAAAAGTCTGTTTTGACAATATGTGTGAGTGTGTGTTGCTTATATTTATTATGTATATGTGACACACACACATAAACTAAGGCTGCACAATATTGGAAGAAAACTGGCATTGCAATATTTTATTTCGATGCAAATTGCAATGTTGAGTATAAATTTAACAAATACATTAATAGCTTTTTTGGAAATTTTTTTTTTAAATTTTACATTTTTGATAAAAATAGGATGATTTTAAAGTGGAGTGCATCTGCAATTTAAATGTAATTTCGTTACAATTTAAATAAAAGCATTCTGTTTTTTCTAAGTTAAATAATTTTTTATAGGTTTAAAACTTTATAATCTTTAAATATACTTTATTAATCTTTCTTTAAGTTTTATTAAACTGGGTTCAAATGCGCAAACAGTCACAGGCCTTTAAATGATCCATAAGATTTTTGGTAACTTAATGGACAAATTTTGCAATTACTCCACAACAAAATATGTTTTAAAGTCCTGCTCAACATTGGACATCCAGTGATGTGACTATTGCGAATGTGCAAATTGTGATATTGATGCTGAAATGATTTATTGTGCATTTGTATTACACATATATATTATATTTAAATAAAAAAAACATTCTCAAATATATCCATGCATGTGTGTATCTATACATAGATAATGAATAGACACAGTGCACACACATATCGCCAAAAAACCAACTTTTGTTTTGGATGCGATTTATCACAATTAATTTTTGCCCAGCACTACATTTCATTACACATAATGTTCATTTCTTAGTTAATGCCTAATAATGCATTATAATCAAAGTCATAATCTGATTATTGGTTGTAGTATGAATGGAGTTAATAACTAATACAATTCTGTTTTAATATTAACATCGTAACTTCTCTAATCTGTTTTTTTTTTCTCACCTGCGATTTTAATCCTTTACTGATATTCACAAATGAAATTGTATCGTGTTTGATTGAAACATTTGTTTACATGAAACATGTATAGACAAGAAATAGACCAAGTATTATTTGGTTATTATACCAATATTTTACATAAAAGTATCCTTTCTTGCAGTTTAGGTCAATATTGTAACAATACCATACTAGGGCTGCACAATATTATTTCAGCATCGATATCGCAATGTCGGCATTCACAATTCTTTCATCGCAGCATCTGTAATGTGGAGATGGGATTATTGCACAGTGTTATTTTGCATTTTACATTCTGTTTGATTGTTCAATATCAGGGCTAGGACAAAATATCGCTGGTCCAATTGATGTACCCAAGTATCGATATTTAAAGGTATTTAAAGGTGGCGGTTCTCAGTGTCGGATTGAACACATATCAATGTTGCAATTCCACAAAATATATGTGCTGTTATTAAAATACATCTTATAAATTTTTGAATCATTTTCCCCCCTTAATTTATAAATTTCGTCATATATCGTTGATGGTTTTCTTGTGATATATCACTGTTATTGTGATCTATCATTATCGGGGGCAAAATATAACGATAATATCGTATCGTATTGTATTACTGTTCCAGGACATCTGACTACTTATTTCACTTTTATCTTTGCTCAATATTATTTATTTAAGGCTCGTGCACACAAAGACGCTTTTTGATCGCGTTTTCCGTCAATGTTTCACGCCTTGTGACTAAATAAAGGGCGTCAATGTGATCGTATACACCAAGGCGCAAAATGCCAGGTGTAAAATCGTCATTTTTTAAAACAAAACGCCTCATGCTCAATTTTTTTGTTTTGACGTGCCATGTCACAACCTTCTCCACCAATCATTTTGGAACTTTTTGTTCACGTGCACAGAGCTGCCCAAGTTACAGTAAACAGCACTTTGAGGCGCTCAAGAGCAAAACTGTCAATGCAAGCGCACATTGAAGAAGATGGCCAAACGCAATATGAACGTAGAGCTGCTTATTGCACTGGTGAACAAAAATCATTTCTTCATCGCTGGAGCTGGAGTTGTTACTTGAACTATCCATAACAACAAGCGTGTCAACTTTGTCTTCTTCTTCTGTGTTTCAAGCGCGTGTCAGAAGCTTAAAGTTGTGTAGTGCCATCTAGGGTCAAGGAGTGATTTTGCATACTCTTCTGCTCGACTCCAGTGAAAAATCGCTTGGGTTTGAATCCAGAAAAACGCTGACGATAAACGCAAACGAAAAGCGTCCTGGTGTGTACGAGCGTTAACACTTGCAATTTCTTTGATTCACTCCTCTACATGATCATTCCAATCAAGGTTAATGATTTCATTCCAAAAAGAGCTATTAAAGTCATCTACCGAAACTGTATTAATATCGCAATATAGATTGCAGAACAAAAATATTGCGATGTCAGGTTTTTCCAGTATTGTGCAGCCCTATTCTATACACAAAAAACATCTGTTAATGAACAGTTTCTGTATTTTGTGTTTCACAAGTGTTTTTCATTTATCACCGTTCTGAATTGGACTTCGGGATGTTGATCTCTGCTCTGTCGATTTGACGTTGAAAATTCAACTCTACAGGTAAACAAAGTGACTTTCATTATAATATAACATCTAAGAAATAATATATAGCGAAATAAGTCTGTGAAATACCAGAAAATGTACTGGTAGTTAGTAAACAAGGTTTTTGTACCAAAATATACAACAACAACCCAGAAAATGTATCACTTTACACTATTATAAATTTTAAAAATAATTTAAAAATTTGACCTTTTCAAGGTAAAAGACTGGTGGAAGAAAAATCAAGGTGCCATAATGCAATTTAAAAGCACAAATAATCATAAAATATGGAAAACTGCTAATTTACGGATATTTTACCAGTGAATCCCATTCAGCAATTAATCGCAACAAGAAAATGTGATAACAAGATCATCACAGTAATTAGCAAAAGATCTTCATCATTCCAAAAGATATTTACACATTTTTCAACTTATAACAAAGTGCATCTTTTCTAAACACAGATGTGAGAAAGAGCTGCTATTTCACAAATGGAGTATGCTGTGCATCCTGTCGGAATCTGTTAGCTTGTTTCCTGAGATTTGTCACCTCTTTCCTGTTCTTTTCCATAGAGACCACAGGTGTCAGAAGTCATTTAAACACCCACCAAAACAAGTCTAATCTCCAGCTAACAGACAAAATGCTATCTTTTTTAAAACTTTGCATCCATCTATATGAACATATAAAGCCTATGTGTCATACTGCAGCACACTACACTGCTTTTCCCAGCAGCTTTGATGACCTGTTATCAAGGATGAAGCATAAATACCATACATTTAGAGCAAGTGAATTAATCAGTTTCAGCCAAGATTCACACAGGGCTTCTTTCACTCTGTGGATTTTACAGACTCTTCCTTGACAACACATTTACTTAATCCAAATGAGCAAAAAGCACATTTCCCTAACACTCTCTTAAAGTGCTGTGGCAGTACTACACAGTAATAACTTCACATATCGTAGTATAACAGTCCAAGACAAGTAAAAATGTATATATTAATATAATTTAATGTTACATTCAAAAAAATATTTTGTTTTGCTCGTTCAACTAATTTAAAATGAGCTGAAACAACATTATTCTTGAGATTTCATTGGGACAACTTAATTTTTTTTATGTTCGATCCACATTAATTTGTTAAAAGTGTTAAATTAATTAATCGATTTGTGTTGGAACAATATGACTGAATTATGTGGAATCCGGCATTTTTTACAGTGTATGAAAGAGGTCTGTACTGCAAAGTTTAAATTATTTTTCTTTGTTTACATTATTAAAAAGTCATTTTTTTTAATGCAACATCTTGCAAAGCAATTCTGTTTAATAGATGCATAATAGATGTCTAATAGATCCATCTTGGCTAAATAGGCTGTCAGTGTACATCTAATAGACGTCTAAGAACAGCCCAAAACTAGACTAGTCCTCAAATACAACGATTAGACAGACTCCACATGTGCAGTCATTCATTCATGTGGTTTTGATGACTAGTTTAGGGCCATTCTTAGAGGTCTATTTGATTTTCACTGCCAAACCATGTTTGGCATTGTTTTATCTAGGTTTAGATGTCTATTAGACATCTATTAGATCTCATTTTAAACAAAAAGAAAATGCTTCCCATATGTAAAACTTGGATATTCACTTTCACACAATCGTTTTGTAATTCATCACCTGAAGTGATGCTTTCATTTGCCTAAAATATTATAAAATATGATGATTAAAGGGATTGTTTACCCAAAAATGAAAACTAA